AAACGAGAAATATGTACCCATAGACAAGCCAAAGCTTAAGTCGTTGCTTTTGTGTGATTAACCCAATTTTATTGTTCCATCTACCTGATCACCAAAGATGCTACTAGTATCCTTTACTTAACGTCTTTCAACAAGCCATATTGCCTCATACCAATGGCACAAATGATTGTTACCAGAAGCTCTATGTAAAACCAGTAAGGATCAAGTGAAAACACACTTGATTATGTGGAAGAGCTGCTTGGCATGCCCTCGCGCTCCGCACGGGCCATTTCAGCAGTGAAGCTGGAGGAGCCAATAGAATATCCAAGCTCCATGTCGATGCGAGATTTGGCCTTGCCCACATGGCTCTCATGTGCTCCGGACGCCTCCTGCTTAAACTTCACCAGCTCTCCCAGCACTTGATTCATGGAGGGGCGGGAGGCCGCAGGCATGGCGGTGCAGGAGAGGGCAAGGCGAGCCCAGCGCAGCACCAAGTCATCTGGTGCATCCAAGTACGGGTCCTTGAAGAGTGTCACGGCATCTGACTCGACAAATGGGGCGATCTGTTGGGTTGAAAGAGAACACAACCATGTGGACAAATACGCGTGATGTATTTCTGATATGAATGCTCCCGAGTGGAGGATTGAGCATTGGTCATGCATTAGTCACGAAGAACTCAGGCAGTAAGTCTATACCAAGCAGTTATAGCTTACCCGTTGCTTCAGACTGATCCGGCTGGTCTCGCTTGCATGCACGGCCTTGCGTGCCGAGATGACTACCAGCATCACCACACCAAAGCTGTTAACACCAAGCCAAAAAGGTGCAAGGACCAGAATGGAGATTAATGTGAGGCATGTCAATGGAACATTCTATGCCAGGCCTGCATCACAAATGGAAATATTCATCTGCTACTGGTGTGGCCTTGTGGGACTTGTATAAGGCGGGGTCCAGATAGACCGGTGTTCACATCACTCGAGTAAGATATTATCCCACTCTACTATATATATTTATATATATATATATATATATATATATATTTGCCCTCTCACCTGTACACGTCTGCTGGTGGAGTGGCCTTGTGGGACTTGTAGTAGGCAGGATCCACATAACCCGGTGTCCCCATCACTCGAGTGGCAGCCACAGATGTGCCCATAGCGGTGCCTCCGGTGAGTTTCACCAGCCCAAAGTCTGCAATCTTGGCCTGAACAACATTTTCAATTGCATGTAGGTAAAATTTAGATATTGAATAGCACCAATTGCTTTCAACATGTAAAGGCATGCAAGTCAAAAGAAAACAGAATGTTAAGTTAGTGGTTGGTCAAACAGAATGCAGGCAGAAAGTAAAGTTAGACGTACATGCATATTTGCATCAAGCAAAACATTGGCTGGCTTGATGTCGCGATGCACAATGCCGAAGTCATGAAGATAATGCAACCCCTTGGCCACTCCAATCAGAACATCCAGACGTTGCAATAGGGAGAGATGGCTTGGAGCTCCTAAGAAAGGGGAATTTGAAGAAATGTTTCCAAATCAAATGTTAGTTGGAAAATAGGTGGAGCCTGTTCTTAAGAAATAGACTGTTCTGATGAAAGAGTTTGGAAGGCACGAGAGAAGGTTTGCGGCAGGTGCAGGACACATGAAACAATCTAGCCTTCCAAATTTCTGAGCTCGCATCACACACAGAAATTTCTCCAAGAGAATGGCTATCGAAGAGTGTGATAAGGACATCCATCACAAAGATAATGATGTTTTATTACCTGGTCCAATCCAGCTCTCCAAGTCGCGATTCGCCATGAACTCATACACGAGCACCTGCTCAATCTGGCCTGTGCTGGAATCGAAGTTTAAACAGAAGCCCAACAGGCGCACCAGGTTGGGGTGGTGCTTGCTGGCCATCTCCTTCACCTACGAGACAAGAGGGGAAAATAAGAAATGGAACGAGCAAGAGAAAAAGGGAGTGCATGTGCCTTTGCAAGTCTGTGTTTGTTTGAGAGTGTATTGACATGGATGAGTAACTATTTGATTCCTAATGGGATGCTGAAATCAGCACTATGGAAGTGTGGTACCTCAGTGAGGAAGTCATTGGAGAGGACCCTAGATCGCTTCACAGCCCACATCTCATTGGGGTCATGCAGCGACACGCCCTTGTACACATCTCCAAAGCTGCCGCTGCCAATCTTGTTCCCCTTTGCCCAGTCTCCCGTTGCGCTTGCGAGCTCTTCCAGAGTGAACTTCTGGCACACATGTGGCTTCACTGCCTCCATCTCCACCACCATGTCTCTCTCCTTCACCCATTCCGCTGCTCCTGCAGCCACAGCCGCAGCTGCTGCAGCAGTTGCTTCTCCTTCTGGGTCCCTATTCTCTGCATTGGATGCTGCGTTGGGATGATCAGGTTTCAAGTCTGTCAGAGGTGGTGAAGGAGACAAGAGGAAGATGAAGAATTAAATGTGGACGGGAACTTAGGGTTTGGGAGGAGGCTGTATTTCGAACAGCGTAGACTGAAAAGGTCCTACCTTGGAGTGCACTTTCTTCAGCCAAATCTTTGCCATCCACATCTGTGCCTCCTGTTGACCCTCTGGTGTGGTATCGTTTGTACATTACCCAGATAAGCAGCAGCAGCACTAGGAAAGCCACAGCGCCGGCAGCAGCAATGCCAGCAATGACTCCGCTGGATAGCACTGGTGATGGGAGGTACATATAAAGAATAGGAAGATGGATATAGTGAACGGAAAAGGCTATCACACGTGGGAATAACGGTGCGCTTGATGAAAAGAGATGTGGGAGAAAAAGCAAACAAAGACTCTGAAAGGTCGAGAAAAAAAAGAATCAGCAAAAGCCACGAGGTATTCTTTCGTATTCTTCGGTATAAGTTGTGGATGCGTGACAATGCAGAAGTTTGTTTTGTAGATGGCAGTGTAGTGTTCATGCACTCAGCACGAATGAGAGCGTTGTCCGAAAGGCAGTATTACTTGCAGCGACCCGCATAAAGTGATTGCATTTCACCTAGTTGTGGCTTGTCACAGGTGGTGCAGAAGGAGCTACACTGCTGGCAGAAAGCACTTGAAATGTTCTGTTTGACCACACAGCCGCTGTATTTAGGAGGGCATGCGATTGCAGCAGAATATACGTACCTGCATGTGCACATGGGGTGTTCTCAAACTAAGAACCAGAAACCGGTTTCAGCTCTGAATGAAACTCTTTGAGATTTCTAAAGGGAAGGTTTGGTGAGACATTACAATGCTATACTATGCCAAGATGTTTTATTCGTAGAAAAACCCAGTAAACCATATATTGGTTTCCATGCATGTTAGGCAATAGGGAATGGCTTAACGTGGTCTGGACCCAACATCAGTTGTTGTGCCGAAACGGATTGAGCCGGGATAGTCATCACGACCTTTGGTACCTTGTATACCTCCTACTTATGGCTGTAATAGTACTAGCTCAGGTACACGAGCGAAACACATTGGCTCCTTGTATAGCTCCTCCTCGTGATTCGCTTTAAGGAGCAATGATGGACATTGCAACAATTTAATTTGCATGCCTTACAAGAATGAAAGACGAGTAAGATTGCCCATTGTTGGAGGGAGTTGGCCATTGAGATTGTTTCCATTTACATCACTGCAATGGAAATGTCAGATGATGTGTGCACCATCAATCTTATCAGCAATGCTTTCACACCATCAATCTTATCAGCAATGCTTTGACTGACCAACCATCATTTGATTGTTCCCACTTACATCACTGCAATGGAAATGCCGGATCCATCTCTCATATAAAGGGTTTCAAGGGGAGTGGCATGATATCTTAGTTCTGGAGAAAATGCATGCTGTAAAAATACGATACTAGAGCTGGTTGGATATTTATTTAGGCCTAGCTGTCACTCTAGAGGGCGTCTCAATAGATCAACCTTGAGAAATAAAGGTAGTCAGCTGTTAGCGTTGGGGACAAGACTTTTCTTGAGAGGAAGGTGAGCTCACAATTGGGATTGACCAATTGTGAGGGACAGCTTAAAAAAATTTCTACATACAATTTGGGTGAGAGAATTCTCCATCGTACCTGGCCAGCCACTGCTGGTCATCATCATCCTTGTGCAATGCACATCTCCCTACCCAGCCATGTGTTCACACCACATATCCAACGTATTCCCTCACTTGATCATGTTGGCAGAGAAGTAGATGGCAAGTTTCCTCACGGGGGCTTGGCCATGTGAATGGCGGTGGCAACTGTCATGCGTACTGGCACCCAGATTGTAAGTCATGCCCTGCTGACACCATCGTTGTCTGTGTCTTCGGTGATTTGCACCACTAGCGAGCGCTTTGTCGTTCCCCATCACAGAGGAAAGCTCTCTCACCACGTCACCATAGGCGAGGGGGAGAGATCTCTCTCACATCTGATCTAGGGATGAGCAAAATCCCAAACGCATGTTCGGTTCGCCTCGAACATGTTCGAGGCGAACCAACAGGCATTTTTTTTTGCCTAAATTGTTCGGGCCGAACATGTTCGGTGTTCGGCCGAACATGTTCGACGTTCGCCTCCGAATTTTGGCTCTCCAAGCCGAACACAAACATGTTCGTGTTCGACTTGGGGGCCACGTGAACACCAAAAATGTTCGCGTCAATATTGGCCGCGACCAGATTTAGGTCGCGGCCAATTAGTGTTTGAGCTCATTTCGTGAGCTCAAACTCAGAAGTCGTTTTCGCCTTAGCCCTCCCTCACACAGCCGCCCTAGCCTCCTTGTTCTAGGTGCAAGCAAGTGCACGCTAATACTTGCAGTGTAAACGGACATTAGATAGATAGATCTATGCATAGGGTTTAACGTAGTGTAGGGAGTTTAGGGTTACTATTAAGGTTCAGCGAGCATCTCCGCAAAGGGCTCAAGTAGGGCGTATCCTACGCCGTAGGATTCGGATCGGGCATTTCAGAGACCTAACCGTGCGGGATAACGTTTAGGAACGGGCGGCACCATCCAACGCTACCGTTGCAGGAAGGGTGTTTTAGGGATTAGGGTCGAGGGCGGAGTTATGGCTTCCAGGGCTGGTGGATTCATAGGCCGAGGTGCAGGCAGGGCTCAGGGCAGCGCACCGGGATCTCCACCACGACCTATGCAGGGGCGAGTAGGGGATGGACCGGGAGGAGCCGGCGCGATCTTCGTTGGGGGGTTGCTTACCGTACCGGCGCCGACCTCTCGTCGCTCTTTCCGTTACGACGGCCCTCGGCCCCCTCCTTCGGGGCAGACGCCGACGCAGCCGGAGAGCGGCAGTGAGGAGGAGGATGAGGAGGAGGATGGTGAAGGCGAGAAGGAGGAGGACACTGAGGGGACCGGGGATGACAGCGAGGCGGCGTGGGACCCAGAGACGCATGGCGGTGGGGAGGGGGGAGATGATGATGATGAAGACCACGAGATGGATGGGTTGGAGCCAGAGGGGCGGGAGGAGGAGGTGGGAGAGGGTGGTGGAAGGGCGGCAACAGAGGCGGGATCACAGCATGTGCGTGAAGGAGGAGGGAGCGTGGGGGTTAAGGTGGGGGGGAGAAAGGCCGTGACCATTAGGGAGCCGAGGCAGAGGAAGAAAGCCAACAAGTTGAGGGAGCGGGCGTATCCCTGCACGTTCACTGGGGAGCCCTTGGGCGAGGGTGTGATCGCTCCCGAGTTCCTAGATGAGGACGGAGGGTCCGAGAGTAGTAAGGGGACTGGCAAGGGTAATAGGAAGCCGGGGTGGCAAGTAATGATGTTCGGACCGTTAGGGGCAGACGATAAGCGTCAGTGCAAGATTTGCACAGACAGGATTTCGTGGAAGCAATCCACAACAACCCCCGGCGAGCGGCACTTTGCGAGCTTCCACACTACGCACATGCATGTGTGGCATCACCGTTACCACACCCTGTCCGTTCACTTGCCAGGGGAGACGTTTCCACGTGGGGGCTATAAGGGAGTGCCGGATGGCTACGTCTATCAGTGGCCACATGCCAAGACTTGGCCGCAGCTCGCCAAGGGGAAAGGGATGGCGACTGGTGGAGGTGATGGGTCAGGAGGGATGGAGCGGTGGATGACAACCAAACTGACCTCGGTGCAGCTACGGCAGGCGATCACGAAGCTGGTGGTCACCTGCGACCTCCCCTTCCGCATCGTCGAGGCCGAGGCTGTAAGTGCCCCATCCCATCCCATGCATGATTGGGCAAGTATGTGGTTAGTGGACGTGTCTGTCCCTTTGTGTTTTGACTGTTTGCGTGTGGCCCAGTACAGTGCTATATTATTTTCATCCCATCCCCTTGACTTTTACTCCCCTCTCCCCCCTTGTCTCTACCCCTCTCCAGTTTCGTGAGCTACTCGTCCTGTTAAACCACAACTGCGCGCAGAAAAACTTCATCCCCTCGCGCTGGACGGTTTCCCGCGACACAGTGGTCTATGCGGCTGCCGCTCTTCAGTCAGCCATTGCGGAGATGCAGGCGAAGGAGGGGGAGCTGGGGTGCAGGGTGTCGTTCACCATCGACATGTGGACGTCGCCCAACAACAGGGCGTGGCTAGTGGTAACGGGTCACTGGATCGACGAGAATTACCAGCTGCGCACAATGGTGTTTGAATTCCGCGAGATTCACGGGCGTCACACGGGCAAGCAGATGGCGAGGGTGGTTAAGGAGACGGTGGTGCAGTGGGGGTTGGAGACGCGTTGTCTTGGGTTCACCTCAGACAATGCCTCCAGCAACACTGCCGCTTTCAGGTGGATGTCGGAGGAGGGTGGTGGCCAGTGCTTCTTCAACTCGCGCATGCACTTCCGGTACGAAAGGGAGTGTGCGTGGGATGTGCGATGAGGGAGTCTGGGTGCGTCGTTCCTGTGATGTGAACATGTTGTGGTTGTAGTACAGGCGGGTGGGCCTATGCGGCTTGAGAGTGGTAGTGTTTCTCGGATCTATGCCAATGTGCACTCACACTTCCCTTTCTCTCCGCCATGAATGTTTTGTGATGTGCGCAGATGCCTGGCACACGTGATCAACCTTGCAGTGAAGGCAGCACTCGGTGTGACCGCCATCCGCAAGTTGTTGAAGATTCTGAGAGAGATGGCATCGTGGATAGGCTTCTCGCCGCAGCGCTCAGGGAAGTTCTTGGGCCTTCAGCGGACCCTGAACGCGCAGGGCAACCCCACCAAACCGAAGCCGGCATTGAAGCTGGTGCAGGACAGTCCCACACGCTGGGGGTCGACCCACGACATGGTCGAGTGAGCTGGGGTTCTGCAGGAACCCATCTCTGTCTTCTTTGCCCAGACACAGGTGTGTGTGTGTGCCAGGTGTTGTGTATGCGGTTTTATGAGTTGGTATGTCAGTCGGGGTGTTTTCTTTCGGGACTTGCACCACTGTTGGCCATGCTTGACTAAACTTATCGGACCTCCAACAACCTCAACCACCCCACTTTCCACCCTAACACCCGCCCACTCATACGTTCTACCCGACAGGGCGTGTCGAAGGCTGACAAGGCGAAGATGGACACCTTAAGCCTGATGGACGCAGACTGGGAGACTCTGCATTCTGTCAAGACCTTCTTCAGCCCATTCGCCAAAGTCTCCAAGGCCGCGGAGGGAGCGGCGTACCCTACAGTGGCGATGGTCCTGCCGTACTACAACGGCCTGATCGACGCTATGGAGTCGCGCCTTGCCAAGGGGCCATTGGCTACGCTGAAGCCGATGATTGAGGTGGCGCTGGATCTCTTGAAGAAGTATGAACTGATGTCAAGCAACGAGTTGTGGATCGCCACCTTCCTGGACCCTTCCATGAAGGCGCCGTGGTTCGACGACGCGCACTGGGAGACGCTGCATCCCGATACCAACCAGAGGGCGAGGCCTCGTCCCTCGTCAGGCGAGGTGATCCAGCTGGTTCGCGAACGCGTGGCCGAGTACCAGGCCCGGGCTGCAGCGATTGCCCCTCGGCCGACTCCACTTGCCCCAGTGACGGAGGAGGAGGGAGACGCGGCGGATGACGACGAAGACGCCGAGTTTCTCCCTAGTCGCCGACGCCTTGCGGCGCGTCTTTCGGCGAGCCAAGAGGCGGGGAGGGGTGGGATGGTGCAGGATGACGAGGTTGGCAGGTACTTATCTGAGAGGGTGCGGTGCGACGTGTCAGCGTTGGAGTATTGGCGCACCGCCACCAACATGCAGACGCTGAGGCGCATGGCCCGGGATTATCTTGCCATCCCTGCCACGTCCGCGTCGAGCGAGCGCGTGTTCTCCCTCGGCCGCAACCTCATATCCTGGAAGCGGCACCGCCTAGCCTCTCAGAGGACGCGAGCTTCCATGATTCTCAGATCATGGTACACCTCACACCCTGGACAGAGGATAGGCGAGGGCCGCCGTGCAAAAGGCGAGGCACCACCAGAGTTCGCCATTGAAGGCGAGGGGGAGGAGGAGGACGACGAGTGGGAGGAGGAGGAGGGGGAGGAGGAGCAGGAGGGGGTGGGTGCTGGCGACACCTCTGACGCGGAGCATGCTGTTGTTGGTAGTAGCAGTGGTGTGCAGGCGTAGGATTTAATTTGACAGTGACTTTTATATAGGCAAAACATGATGGTGTCGTATGCTAGTGTGCGTTGCATGAACACATATACACCCTCCACCACCCTATCTATCTTCCCATCCCTCCAGATTCTTTGTTTGACCAATGTGACTATAACGAAAGTGCCCACGGGCGAACTCGAACATGTTCGAGTTCGCCCACACATACCAAATGTTCGCCCCCATGGGCGAACGGCGAAAACCTCCTGAACCCTAAATTGTTCGCCGAACCGAACCGTGTTCGGTTCGGGAAATGTTGATGTTCGAGCGAACTCGAACCCAAACGTGTTCGAGTTCGCCCTTTGCTCATCTCTAATCTGATTTGGCAGACTGTGACAAGCCATGCCTGCTTGTCCCGGTTCACGTATGTCACACAGGCCAAACCAGCCGCCCACTTGGCTGGTCTGAGAGTCAGCTCATTGTGGATTGAAACAACCTTGATGTGACACACTAGATTTCTGCCATGACTAAGGGTGAATGGAACTTAAGCACACTCCCAGGCAAGGGCGTCATGAGTGCATTAGCCATGTTCATATGGCTGAACTAGGGCACCCACGGTCGGGCCAGCCTCTGTTGCAAACCGGCTGATTGTTCCCGATCGTGCAGAACTTCTTGCATGTCCGGCACAATCGGGCCAGCCAGCTTGCAAGCACGGTCATCTCTCTGCACTGCAGAAAGGGCATGCACTATGGCCAGTCCTATGCTCTTTGCCACATCCACACGGATCAAACCAGCGTATTGCCATCCTTGTGCACATTAGTGGGCGACCCCCAGCCTGTCTCCTTGCAGCAGACCTCTCCATCACAGGCCGGCTTGCTAAATTCAGTATGTCTGTAAGCTTAGATATTTTATTTTGGGGCTTTTTTGTTTTGTTTTGTTTTGCTTCGATTTTGTTTTTGTTTTTTGTTTTGTTTTTGTTTAACAAAAAAGGCTAGCTTACGTTTGATAAGAGGATTCCTGTTAAAAAAAAAAAATGCCCCCTTAGGTTTGACGAAATATGAGGTCCAAGACGGGCATGTTTGAGGCCATGTCCACACGAATTCGACAGGCGAGATGCTCATTGTCGTGGATCTGATTGGAAGAAACTGGTTACAGCAAACTGGCATCTCAATGAGGATTTGACAGATTGTGGCGAGGCCTACAACCTCGTTCAGGCTCGATTGGTTTGCGTATCATAGACGAGCCACACACCTAATTAACTGCCCACTCATCTTGTCGGCCAGTCAGTTCGTTGTGCAATGGAACGACTAAGCTGGTCATAGGCCTATGCTCAAACCCACTATTCGTAGGAGCCTTGCAGTTGTGAGTCATTTCCAACAGCTCCAAATGCTCATATGGCCGAGCTTGGACCCTCTAGTCATGATGTAGTTCAAATTGGATGGCATGGGACAGCGTGGTTGGGCCAGCCTGTTTGAAACACGTTCCGGACTACCCTTTTTGCATGTACCACTTGTCGATCTCAGCCTCGCAATTACTAGCCCGGCCTCTTGGGTCAGCTTGCTGCAGAAACATGTACAATGACTACTTGTATCATGGTCAGAGTCTAATAAGTAGTCGCCTTGCTGCAGATCTCTGGCAAACTTGCTGTAGAACTGACCTACCATAGGCGCCCCCCCAAGGCCCTGGGTTTGCGGGCTAGCTCGACTCAGCGCCAGCCCATGGTCATGCCTAGCATGTATGCTCATTCTTGCGGAGATAACTACTACAACGGGAGCTAGACTATGGGCTAGGCACGGGTAATCGTGTGATCTCTGCGTTCGTTGGTTCTTAGTCGTTTTTGTAGTGCTCAAACTGCTTGCTAATTCACGGAGCAATTTGGCAAAAGTTTCACTAGAGAAAGTTGACAATAATGGTACAATCAAGTTGGCATGGCAAGACTACATCACAGCTAGCATTCAGGTCGGTCGACTGCCAGCACAGCATGGTCGACCACGCTCCAGCAGTGCAAAGTTGACAGCGTGCCAACGCTGCAGGTTGACGGCGTGCCAGCGTTGCTCCCGTAGAACAGCTGCGCACCTACTTTGCAGGTGCTTGTTGATGATTGGAGGGCTAAGCCTCGTCACCTGAACAGTGCACGCACCATGTCATCTTCGTGCTGACGGCTCCACCTGATCCGCCACGTCGACCTCGGGATACTACCACCGAGGTCTGACTCGCCAACTTCGCCTGGGCGACCGTCGCACTCCTTCGCAGAACCTCGTCACCCAGGTATCCTGGTCGACCGGGCAACCATGTCGACCAGCTGCTCCTGTATGTGCTCGTCGACCTCACAAGTCGGTGACCTTGCAAGTCGGCGCCGACCACCAGTTGAAGTCGGCCGCCGGCTTCCCAAGTCGGTGGCATTGCAGTGGCCGTGTGCAAGTCGACCAGCCCCGTCGACCAGCTCGCCCAAGTCGGCGTCGCCCACTGCTGCAAGTTGGCTGTACCTTCCGTACACCCCACCACGAAGTTGGCTCCGCCCAAGCGTGGACGGGGCCAACAAACAACTCCCGTTGACACTCCCCTGCCGCGTTCAAGCTTGGCCCCCCCCCCCAAGTCCACTCGGCAGTACTCCTCGGAGAATAGCTCGTCGACGTGCACCCAACACACAGCACGTCGTCCTCCGCACCAGCCATGGAGAAGGGCATGGCACCTACTGCTGCACGTCGTCATCTTCGTCGCCCACGTCGGCCAAGCGCACCTGGCCGATGGCGACGGAGCACCGGTTGAAGGCCGGATAGTGCAGCGCCTTCGTCAGAAAGTCGGCCGGCTGCTCAGTGGTCGGGATGTACCTCAGCGAGAACTTCCCGCGCTTCACCATGTGCTGCAGCCAGGCCTGTCGCCTCTCCATGTGCTTGAGGTTGCCCGTCAACCCCATACCCACGGCGACTGTGATGGCCGACTTGTTGTCCATCCGAAGGACGGTAACTCTGCAAGGAGGAAGCGAAGTCGGCGTCCTTCCTTGCCGGCTTCGGTGGCTGCCACGTACTCCGACTCAGCCGACGACAACGTCGCACACTTGATGCGCTGGCTCGACCAGGAGACTGCGGCCCCTCCATAGACGAACACGTAGCCACCCGTGCTCGTCCTGTTCTGCTTGTCACCGGCGTCGTCGGCGTCCACGTAGCCGACCAGCTCCAGCGACTCAGGTCCACCGCCGAACTCCAGTGCAGTGTCGCGCGTATTGGCGAGGTAGGCGAGGCAGCGGTCGACCTCGCGCCAGTGCTGGTCGCTCCTCACCGTGAGGCCGCTCCCCAGCTTGCTGCAGGCGAAGGCGATGTCCGGCCTCGTCGT